CTAGACGCTGCAAACGTAGCTCAGATCCAGCTGCCAACGCAGCTCATATTCGGCCACAAACGCAGTCTCCGAAAGTTGCCAACGCAGCTTTTATCCGTTGCCAAACGCAGCTTCCAACAAACAGCCAAATGAGCTTTCAGCCGCTGCGTCCGAGCTTTCAGATACTGCGTTCAAGCTTCCAGACACCGCGTTTGAACGCAGAATTCACACCAGAACACGGATTTTGCGTTTAACTCATTCAAACACAAGCCGAACGGTTTCAAAACCGTTTCCCACGATTTGAGGAGATCACAACGCCACTCAGGAGTGATTTAAGGGGTGGTTATATCCCATTAACCCCACTTAGGAGCGAATTAAGGGAACGGTTACACCCCTTAATCCCTTATAAATAACTAAGAAATTAACTTAGTTCGGATCTTGGATCTGGAGCATTTTCTGTGGCAGCAAAGAAGAGATCTTGGGGGGAATTGCTAGAGCTTTGGAGATCAGCAACAGGAGCTTTCTTCATCCTTGGCTTATAGACCAATTTCGGTTAAATCAACTCTTTCATAGAGTTTTAAACTCATTCAGAGTTCTCCACAACGTCAAATCGTGAGGAGAAAACCATGTTTTAGTGAATCAAGACGTTCGGATCATCAACGGAGAGCAAACTCGACGCGAGCATTCGAGGGAGGCACTCCATCGCCACCGTGAAGAACCCAGAATTAAACAAAGGGGAGAATTCAGATCATTCTTCTCCTTTTTGTAATCAGGAAATCCAATTGTAACTGAGATTAAAGAAATACAGATCAATTTTCCTTCATTTGTTTTACTGAAAAATTTTCGACAAACAATATGTATGAGAATTCATCAGCCGCAATTAAAGTTCATTTGATGAGATGGTTATTCAATCTAAAAAAGGAGAAAGACGCATCAATAGCACAACCCCTAAATGAACTCAACACGGTCACAACACAATTGAGCTTAGTTAAAATTGAGTTTGATGAAGAAATCGAGCGTTGGTACTCTTGTCTTCCCTACCAGAAAGTTAGAACGCTACAGTTATGGTTGTGAGTAGCTCGTTAGGAAGCAACAAGTTAAAGTTCGATGACGTTCGTGATCTGTTTCTTAGTGAGGAGATCCGACAGAGAGAGAGTCGGGTGAAGCTCCAACCTCTTCAGTATTATATACAGAGTCAAGAGGTAGAAATTCAACCAGAGGGAACGAATGAGGCAGATCAAACCACCTAAGTAGATCAAAGGACGGAAGGTCCAAATCCAGGAATCCCAATGGCTCAAAGACCATCGAGTGTTGGAAATTGTGGGAAAACCAGGCATTACAAAAACCAGTGCAAGAGTGCATTGAAAGATAATTAGGTGAAGGCAGATGTGAATATTACTTCTACCTCAGGGGAGATGATGCATTGATATGTTCTTTAGAGAGCATGGAGGAATCTTGGGTGTTAGATTCGGGAGCATCGTTTCATGCTACTTCAAAGAAAGAATTCTTCAAAAAGTATGTCCCCAAAAATCTTGGATATGTATATCTTGGTGATAATCAATCATGTGCTATCATAGGCAAAGGTGTAGTGAAAATTAAGTTGAACAGGTCAGTATGGAAGCTGAAGGATGTCAGACATATTCTCAACCTAGGAAAGAACTTAATCTCAGTAGGCCAGCTAGCTGGCAAATGCTACACTACGATCTTCCATGGAGATGATTGGAAGATCTCAAAAGACGCAATGATGATTGTCCGAGGCAAAAATACTAGTACCCTATATATGACAGAAGGTGCACGTTATTTGATCATAGTTACAGCAGGCAATGAGACTTCGAATTTAAAGCACCAGAGACTCGGTCATACGAGTGAGAAGGGGATTAAGATCAGGCACACAAAAGGAGAACTCCGAGGCCTAAAATCAGTGGAGATATACATGTGTGAAGATTGCATACTTAAAAAATAGAAGAGAGTTAGCTTTCAGACAAGTGACAGAATCCTAAAGAATAAGAAGCTAGAGCTCGTTCACTCAGATGTTTGGGGACCAACCACCATCGTGTACATTGGTGGGAAACACTATTTCGTGACTTTTATCGATGATCACTCTCGGAAAGTGTGGTTCTACTTTCTGAAGCACGAGTCAGAAGTGTTTGAAGCTTTCAGGAGATGGAAAACTATGGTCGAGATGGAAAGCTATGGGAGATTGTTGGACTTGAGGTGTAGACCCAAACCTTCCAAGCAGGCGACCTCGAGGCGAAGCAGGCGACCTCGAGGCGAAGCAGGCGAGCTCGAGGCGACCCAGGCGAGCTCAAGGCGATGCAAGAGAACTTGAGGCGGGCGAGCTCCACTCAGGCGAGGTTGAGGCAAGCGAACTCCACACAGGCGAGCTTGAGCGCGTGCGAGATCTTGGTAGGCGAGGTCGAGACAGGACAGCGACAGCCTGTCGCTAGGGTATTCCCTATAAAAGGGAACCCAGAGCTCGAGAATCTTGTGTTGATCTCTTCTTCTCGTGATTTTCTTTGATGGCGGATTCTTCTCAAGCCATGTAGCGGTGAATTCTCAATTTATTTAGAAGAATCACTATAGCGGCGATTTCTCATTTATTGCAGAGATTTTCAGTTTGAAAATCTTGTGCTTAGAAAAAGAGAAAGATTCTCTCTTTGTTGTTTTGATTGAGAGATCTCAAGGGTGTTTTGAGATCTGCTCTTTGTAAGATTGTATTTTTCTTTAAGTAATAAAGAAATTTACTGTGTGACTCCGAGGACGTAGGCAAGTTTGTCGAACCTCATAAATCTTAGTGTATTTTTCTCTATTGTGTTTTCTTGTTGTTTTAGGGGTTTAGCGTAGCCTTGTAATTTCCAACACAGAGATAACTAATGTAAAGTTTAAATAAATAGAATAAATAAATGGGTACTTAGATATAGGGAGACCTTTTCAAAGTTCAACCACGAGATAAAGAGATATTTTGGCGAGAAAAGACGGAGGGGAAGATAGCGTGGATGGAAATATATTTGTGTTGTGTGGAAATATTTTCATGGAGAAAGTTTTATTCGATGGAGGAAAAATTATATTTTCTTTTTGTAATTTTGAATTTTACATTGAAAATTTTCTATTATCTAGTCTTGGCTAAATTGAAAACTTTATATAGTATTATTGAGAATATTGTTACTTTTTCCGTAGTTGCCAATCTCTATTGAGATTAATGATTAATTAAATGTCTTTTAAAATTTTTATTAGAACATTTCTCCCTCTTTAGCATTGAATTCATGCTAATACATGATAAGTTAGTTTTCACAACAAGAATGGTTATTGTTTTATTCCTATATAATATATAATAGATAAGTTATTAATTTTATAATTTAAATTGTTTTTTATTAGCTTCTTAACATTCATTTATTTAAATAACACAAAATTAGAATATTTTTATGGCTCAGATGAAAGACAATTTTAATTAAATTTATCTTATATTAGTTATCCCTGTGTTAGTTAGCTAGAAAATTTTATAGTTGACAACTTTTTCCCCTTTTTCTCTTTCTTATTCGATCTACCACACATCATTCCATCATCTCTCAATTTTAATAATTTTTAATAAAACATGAATATTATAATTTTTAAATTTAAATTAATTATACAATTTAAATATTTAATAAAAAGTAGAATAACATTGAATAGAAGGGAATAAATAAGAAGAGATGTGATCTAATTTTATGGTGTGGTTTGAAGATGATGGAGAAATAAAATATAAAAAAAAGTTCTAGTTTTTTATCGTGTAGTTCTCGCTTAAAACTTGGAACGCTTTAAGAGATTAGAACTCTTTCTTTTCTATACAAATTTAATAAAAGTGGGATAAATTTTTACAATTATCTCAGTTCTACTTTTTATCCCATTCTTATTGACTAACACTATATAATTTTATTCTAGTTCTAGTTCCAATGGACTAACACTGTAAAAAATTATCCCGGTTCTAATTTTGAGTTCTACTTGCCTAACCCCACCTTAGAAAATTTGCCTACTTCCAAAAAGGTTAAAATTATCATTTTAAAAAAAATAGAGCGATTAGCCTCCTTAATCCTTGTTTTTTTGGCAACATAAAAAAATTAGCTCTTCATATTAATTATCTAATACAAACAAAATTAGAGTATTTACGTTTGGTTTCAAGGTAAAATCCGTGAAAGAAAATGGATAGAATTCGTTGTCACCTCAGCAAACTCCTGTATCAAAAAGAAAAAAAAAAAAAAGAGCCCGTTCTACTCAGATAAGAGTTATACGAGAGTGATAAAGACATAAATATTGATTTTATTATAATTTCAAAAATCCAAAAATTCTCAGCCAGTCGGTCCTCGGATGAACATACATCACATTACACAGAATGCTCTAAGCGTAGAAAATCCCAAGTTCTTTATTTCATCCTTGAGTTTTCTTAATGTTTTAATTTCATTATTTTACAGCTCACTATCTAATCCATCAGCAATATAGCAACCTCCATCGCACGAGCATCGAGATACTAAGAATAAGACCAAGGCCTTGACCACGTCCTCTCGCACGCCTTTGATCATTTTTAGAATTAACCACCGCATGGATATAAAAAGAGAACGCGTCATCATCATGAAAGGTTCCAGCTCACCCATGTTGGATCTCTCTCTTTACCTTGTTGTTTTCATCAATGTTCCACGCCTCTTTGGTTCGAAAACAAACCGTTCAAATCCACCAAAAAAGAATCACGTGGGGAAAGAAGAGCAAGACAACACTTGACAAATAGCTCGGATGTTCATGTTCATTTTCGTATATGGCAGCAATTGATTAAAGATGTGCACGTATAATTCGGATTCCTTTGAACCCCACTGTTGTGCAACATGTCAAACAATTTATCTACTAGGAATAATTTCCAAATCTATTCATATTAGAGTAGTCACTCACAAGACACTGTTAATTTATGGATAACTGAAACAGCTTACAAGAGAAAGCACGTAAAATAAAAGAAAATGATAGGGCACTGATAAATCCTTGGAAGACGAACGACATAATTAGCTAATTGCGATCAAAGCTTCTTCATAAACTTCATAGTTCCTAATCATATGGTTGTACAATATAATTAACCAGATCTTGATGTTAGAGCGCAGCAACCAATACAGTAAATAACAACTGGTTAATCGTAAACGATTCACCAAAAGTAAGTACAAAATTAGTAACATTTTACTACTATACGGCTCAATAAAGAACTAACTCCCGTTCTCATAATTTTAAGTACCTCAACTACTTTGATTGAGGCTAAAGCAGCTGCAGGTTGCAAATCTTTGGAAATAGCAAACTCAGAATCAAAGAACAGTTCTGCAGAGCTCGAGCAGAACCCCTAACAAGGAAACTCATCAGGTTTGAACTCCTTGGCAGCTACCGATCTGAAAAACAAAATAAATAAATGAGTTTCATATGATTAACATTTACTGGTTCATGACATTCAAACCAAAGATTATAAAAAAAATGGGGCAATTTCCACGACATTCAAACTAAAGCCAACTTCACACGTCAACTCAAATCGGATGGCACATACCCACAACTAAAGATGCATGCACTTCACTTCAGTGGTTCTTTCATTAAGGTTCAACAATCTATGAGAAGAGATTTTGGATAAAAAGTAGAGAACAGAAGAGCTTGAGAGATTCCCCTTTCCATGAAGAACTTCCATGAAGTTCAATCAAGTAGAAGCCGAAACAAATGTTAAGATTCTCTCCACTATCAGCGAACCCCATATCCAGTCTAGTTCATGGGACCCAATAAACTTTTGACCATTAGTCTGTGTACGGGATATGTCGAAGTCTGCTGCACAAATTGTGGGCATAAAATTGCAATTAAGCTGGTTAACTGTGTGCAAGGTTATCGATAGCGGATAGCGTCGCGTAGCGGTGAGGCATCGCTAAGGCTTATTTGAGGCTATTGCGGCAAAATAACGGTAAAAAGTGCAAGGTCAAATAGCGGTCTAATTTAGATATGTATAAATATAAAAAAAAAAGATTAGAAAAATCTAGAAAATCTAAAAATGCACATTTTATGATTTAAAGAGATCCTAAATATGAAATAAACATATAACCGTCGTATAATACCGATGACAACTGGAGGAGTCAAAGAGTCCTCGTCTTCGAGAAGATGAGCTGAGCGATGAGAGGACTACACTAGGAGGAGCTCACGGCGAAGGAGGTGAGAGGAAGTGTTGAGGTAGGTGTCAAAGGTTATGGGAGGCGGCGGGAGTCTGCCGAAAATCGCGGGAGGCGGTGGGATGCAATGGTTGAGGGTCGGGTTTAATTTAAAAAAAAATCTCAAACCGCTTTTAAGTAGCGGTTAAAAAGCAAATATTGCACGCAATCGTCCGCTATTTACCGTTATGGCGCGTTGTCGGCTGCTTTTGTGAGCGGAAAGCGCATATTTCGCAATATGTCACCGCTATTAGGTAATAGCGTAGCGGGAAGGGACATCTAACACTATTAGCGCCGCTATTGTGGGGCTATTTGCCGCTATATATAACAGTGATAGTGTGTGGTGTTCCTTGGCAACTCTTGCAGACTAGAAAGTGGAAACACTCTGGTAACTTTTTGAAGGCAATGATACAACTTAAAAACAGTATCATAGATACAGCTATTTACATTTCATTCATTCTAAAGATAGGATGACGTTGAAAGAAAATAAATCATTTGTGAAGTCTGGATTTGGGTGAATCCAAGTTATGTCGTGTCATTATTAATGAATAGGCGCAATAGAATAACAGGAAATTTATGTTTGAGGATAAAATTTTATAGATCAAGACAATAGATCTTATGAGAGATGTAGGCAATGGTGAAGCAAAGCTGCATATTTAGTGAAGCAGAAGAAATAAATTGGTTTTCTGTAAGGGCCAGTTTGGCTCAAAATTTGGGTGGAAAACACATGGAAAACTACTGACACAGTTGTCCTGTATCAAAATAGCCAAATGAATTCTTATTCCTCAGTTTGGTTCATAATAAAACAATTGGGAAAACTTTTTAGAAACATCATAAAACGTCAATTTTGGTGGAAAAGCCAATTCCGAGTTTTAAGGCGGAATCGCTAGGAAAACGCATTAAAAATATTAAAAAAAGAGGTTGATGGTTTTTAGGGAAACAAGTGTAAAATTTTAACACGTCTTTTCTTAATATGCTCAATTCCTAATTTTAAGTTTTGAACCAAAGCATGGATTGGTGATGCGGTAGGTTTTCCCTTTCCTTTTGATGTGCGAAGCAAAGCAAAAAAATAGCTTTCCCAAGAAATGCATGAAAAACTCAAAAATGTTTTTTTCATTGGAATCCTATTCCCATATTACATGGAAATGAATCAAATAGGCCCTAGACATAAGGGGAAGAAAAGTCCTTGCGAAAAATTCACACAAACAGTAAATCAAATAAACTGCTATTAGTTTATAACATAATATATTTGGGATGAGAATATTAATTAGTAATGCTCTGAACAAGAGAACGGACATCCCAATGTTTGGATATGATTGCAGAAACAGATTAAATCTGATTGCTTAATTTATGTTGGGCCTTATAAATTTTTAAAGCCTGAAAGCGCCGAGGGCCAGAGGCTGTTGTCTGAGACAGCGTCAGCGCCGTGCTCGACAATTGGCTAAGGCCATGCAACAAACCGACGGGGTCCATTACTATGCGGACCTAAAGTCGAGAAAACAGAAAATGATCCAGTTGCCTCAATGGCAAGATAATCATATTTCTGCAAAGCTTACGACGGAGGAATGGACTCTCGTCAAAAAGGCCCGTTCAACCCTTAAAGAACGGATACAAAAGCGTAAGGCGAAGGCTGCCCACGCTCGCGCTCTGCGTCAACGAGCGCAAGAAACCAAGAAAGAGGCGGTAACTGAAAAGCCACCGAAGAATCGTATAAGCAAGGTACATGAAAAAAAATATTACAAATAAGCAAGGTACATGAAAAAAAATTGAAAAAAAATATTACAGAAAATATTACAAATAAACACGATTATTACAAATAACAAAATTGAAAGAAAACAGAATTGCAACTTTGTTATTTGTAATATTTTGTTATTTGTAATATTTTTTTTCATGTACCTTGCTTATATGTTTCTTTCTTTCAATTTTGTAATAATTTTGTAATATTATTATAAGCAAAACAGCGAGACCGCTGGCTCCCACTGTGGTCGCCAGCTTGTTTGGTTCAAAAGTCGCTGCTGTGGAATTCAAAAAAGAGAGAGATTGCAGGCCTCTTGGGAACAGGTGAATGGCTCGGGTTCCTCGAGCTCAATAGACTCTACGTGGCTGACGATGATGAGTATGTGAATCTGCAAGGAAGCCCAACGAAAAAGTCAGGATTTTGAGCAAGAAAATCAAACGATGCAAAATTAATCAGCCAAATATGGGCCGGAAATCATACAATGCACAGTCAACAGTTGAAAAAAAAATCAAGAATTTTGGAGAAAAAAAGGAGTGAAGGCAGAACCTATTGAAATCGAGCGTGCAAATCTCAACAGACTGCAACAAGAGGCACGAGCCACCGCAAGATCGGCACAAAGAGGTGAAAGAACTGGTCGAAAATCGTGACTTCGAAAAATCGGCCCAAGGAATCGCCTGAAAATCGGGCAAAAACATCGACGTGAAAAAACCCTAAAAACCGCTAAGTCCCGACTTAATAAAAAAAAATAGCAGGCGGGCCTGAGACACAGGAAACTCTGCTCGCTGAGGCGAGAGCAGAGCAACTCTGTCTCGCCGAAGCGAGAACAGAAAACACTGTCTGCCACGAGGCGAGACATGAAAACGGCACTGTCTCAGCACGAGACAGCGAGACAGAAAACTGCTGTCGTCGCGCAAAAGCGAGACAGTAAATTTTTGTTTTGCACAGGAACAGATGGAATACTCCAAATGGGTAGCCGGAGTCTAAACTGTAATTGCCGCACCCTCAGCAGGAATTTCTGGAGAATAATTAATCTGAATATTCTTAAGGATAACAGCTGAGGATTCTGGCAATGGATATACCAATTAAAATGGTAACGCTGAATTCAAAGCAAGAGGCAAGTATGCAACTTCAAAGTTCAAGATGCATCGACAACGGTATTAAAGCGTATAAAAACCGACGTCCGGAGAAGAAGAGAAGAAGAAATAAGACGAGCGGATGGAAAATGTAATAAAAAATAATAGATGCGAAAAACAAAAGGTAGTGATAAAGAGAAACAGAGAAAAGTAATAAGTAGATAGACGTAGAAAAAGTAAGACGAAGTGTTATGTTGGGTTACGAACTAGTAATAGAGAACAAGTGTAAAGAGCGGGAGGTTAGAGCTATTCTACGAAGAACTGGAAGTAGACTAACAGGGAGCAGCAGGAGGTTAAACATTGAAGCCATTTACCGAAGTCAGCTTTCAATAACGAAGTCTATTCAGCCAAGGCAATTGAAGGGATCATAAGTAAAATCATCTTATGCCAAAGATCCGCATGCTCCTCTATAAAAGAATGAGTCTAGAAATAACTTTGGAGGAGGGTATCTGTAGGCACCATCCAAAAAAATGCTAAAGAATATCCAAGCATAGATAGATCATATCAAAATTCACAAGAAAGGATTATGCAATACTGTTATTGAAAAAATTCAAAACAAGTATGAACTGTCTCGGCCGCGAGACAGTCTATTGTGCTAGTCGTCGCCAAGCGAAGACAGTCCTTCGCTGTCTTCGCCAGCGAGACAAGTCTTTTGGGCTGTCGTCGCGCAGCGAGAGCAGTCTTTGCGTCTGCATCAGGCGAGAGCAGTGTTTGAAAATAGTCAAACTACATTTGTAACTGGCGCCTACAACGTGTCACATTAACATGCCATAAGAGGACGTGGGAAAACATCCATAGGGCGAAAATCACCGTGGATAACTGCAAAATAACGGAGTTTTGAAAAAGAGTGGAAAGAACAAGTTACAACGAGAACTGCACATTTCCGAAAGACAGCATTTACTGTCTCGCTGAGGCGAGACAGGCAAATTTACTGTCTCGCGTGGTCGAAGACAGGCGCAAACGCTGGTCTCGCAACAACGCGAGAACAGTATAACACTAGTCTCGCCGTACTGACTTCTTCGAATGTTAAGATCTTTGCAGTTAGCAGACGCGCTTGAGGCTATATAAATACGCCCCTAGGGTGCACTTCTGACGGAGGATCGAGCATTTGTTAGAGCATATCCAGGAGGGGGCAGAGAAGAGCAGAGATTTGGATTCTTTTCTTTGCAACGGCCTTGAAAATTAAGCTATTGACTTGAATTTTAAGAAGAACGAACTATCATTAGCTTCGATAAGATATCGGTTTCAATTTCTACTTCGATAACGAGGTTAGAAATCATAAGCGCCCCTCTTCACGGATCTGTGAAATCGGCGGTCCCACGAACGCAAAAGCGTTCGCCGGCACAGGCAAAGTCCCCACGAAAAACAGAATGATAGAACGATTTTCGTGTTGTGTTTCTCAGAGTTGTAATTTTTGATTGTTGTGTAAGAAAAAGTCTTATAAAAAGATTAATTCTTATTCCGAATTTGTTGTAATCGGAAACAAAAATTATAAATGAAATTCCACAGAGCAGGACTGATTTGAACCAAACAAAGCCTGGCGACCACATGGGAGCCTAGCGGTCTCGCTGTTTGGGATATGAATAAGTATTACAAAAATTTATACAAAATTGAAAGAAGAAACATATAAGGCAACGGTACATGAAAAAAAATATTACAAATAAACAAAATATTACAAATAACAAAGTTGCAAATGCTGTTTCTTTCAATTTTGTTATTTGTAATAATCGTGTTTTATTTGTAATATTTTCTGTAATATTTTTTTCAAATTTTTATTTCAATGTAGTCGCTTGCATTAATTTGTAATATTTTTTTCCATGTACGCTTGGCTTATACGATCTTATACGGTGCTTTTTCAGTTACCGCTCTTTCTTAGTTTCTATTCCTTGCGGCTCGTTGACGCCAGAGCGTGCGAGCCGGTGGGCAGCCTTCGCCTTACGGCTTTATGATATCGCCAGTCTTTAAGGGTTGAACGCGCGGGCCTTTTTGACGAGAGTGCCATTCCCCGTCGTAAGCTTTGCAGAAATAAATGATTTATCATTGCCAAATGAGCAACTGGATATTTCTGTTTTCTCGACTTTTAAGGTAACGGCATAGTAATGGACCCAGCGTCGTTTTAGTTGCATGCTTAAGGTGCCAATTTCAGAGCACGCGGCTGACAGCTGTCTCAGACAACAGCCGCTCTGGCCGCTCGACGGCTTTCCAAGAGCTTTAAAAATTTATAAGGCGGCCAAGCATAAATTAAGCAATGACAGATTTAATCTGTTCTGCAATGCATATCCAACATTGGGATGTCGCGTTCTCCATGTTTGCAGACATTACTAATTAATATTCTGCATCCAAATATATTATGATTATAAACTAAATAGCAGTTTTATTTGATTTTACATGTTTGATGTGAAATTTTTCGCAGACTTTTCTTCTATGTCTAGGGCCCTATTTGAATTCATTTCATGTAATATGGGAATAGGAATTCCAAAATGAAAAAAAACATATTTTGAGTTTTTACATGGCATCTTTCTTGGGAAAGCTATTTTGCTTTGTTCGGGCGAGACATCAAAAGGAAGGGGAAAACCTACGCGCATCACCAATCCCATGCATTTGGTTCAAACTTAAAATTAGGAATTGAAGCATATATAAGAAAAGACGTGTTAAAAATTTAGCACTTGTTTCCCTAAAAACCATCAACGTGCTCCTTTTTTAATATTTTTAATGCGTATTTTCCAGCGATTGCGGCCATTAAAACTGCGGAAATTGGCGTTTTCCACCAAAATTGACGTTTATGATGTTTCTAAAAGTTTTCCCATTGTTTTATTTTATGAACCAAACTGAGGAATAAGAATTAATTTGGGCTATTTTGATAGCAGGACAAGCCTGTGTCAGTAGTTTTCCATGTGTTTTCCAGCCCAATTTTGAGGCCAAACTGAGCGCCTAATACAGAAAACGAAAAATTTATTTCTTCTGCTTGCACTAAATATGGGCAGCCTTTGCTTCCATTGCCGTACATCCTCTCATAAGAATCTATTGTTCATTGATCTATAAAGATTTTATCACTCAAACATAATTTCGCATGTTATTTCATTGCGCTATTCATATGAATAATGACACGGACAATAACTTGGAATTTCACCCAAATCCAGACTTCAGCAAATGATTTAATTTCTTTCTAAGCGTCATGCACTATCTTTAGAATGTGTTAATAGCTGTATCTATGAATACTGTTTTAAGTTGTATCATCTTGCTTTCAAAAAGTTCAGCCGAGTGTTTGCCACTTTCTAGTCTCAAGAGTTTCCAAGGAACACCACACACTATC